GGGACATTTGTTGTGTCTTATGACCTTAGATTTCTAACAGCTTACACAGGAGCGTGCCCACTCTCTCACGTCTTTATTCATGCCAGGCCAACAAAAGCGTTCGGCTATAAGTTTGACTGTTGCACGAGCACCTTGATGAGAAAGATTATGCAACGTATTGAAGACGTTGCGGCGATAATGTTTTGGTACTATTGGACGGCCCCTACCTGTAGATGTGTCACAGAGTAAGGTCTCCTTACCTGTTCATATCTGCCTAACACTTAGTTTAAGAGTTGTCGAGGATAACTCATGCTGAAGATCAATGTCTTCTTTTTGAAGCTGAGCGAGTTTAAGAAGGTCGATTCCTTGGAAACTGTTCAAGGAACTTATTCGAGACAAGGCGTCTGCGACTACATTGTTAGCTCCAGAAATGTGTTGTATGTCTGAAGTAAACTGCGAAATGTAGTCGAGTTGTCGAGACTCTCGCGGAGAGTACTTGTCTGAAGATGAACATAAGGAGAAGGTAAGAGATTTGTGATCGGTAAAAAGCGTGAATTTTCTTCCTTCGATGGAATGTTGGAAATGCCGTGCAGCACAATACATAGCTAGGAGTTCCCTACCGAACGTGCTGTACCTAGATTCTGCGTCTAGCAACCGTCTCGAAAAAAATCCTAAAGGTTGCCACGAGTTGTTAACCCATTGTTATAAGACTCCTCCGATTGCTGAGGGGTCTATGGTGTGTTTAATCGTGACTGGGGATAGCCTGCAACCAGAACAAGGAGTTACGCTAACAGATTACTTAGTGTTTCCGTCTATTAACCTTCGTGAGCGTGTGTCGATGAGTAGATTGTGGTATTGTAACAGATCTATACCAATGATTGGCAAAGAGACATCTGCAACAACGAAAATCCAGTGTATGGGTTTGCGTAAACCCACGTTAAGGTGGACGTACCTTTTACCGTAAGTAGCGATCGGCTTTCCGCTGCCACCTGTAAATTTAAAACAGACTCGCGAAGTCTGTCATTGGAATTCGTTGGAAGAACGCTAACTTCTGCGCCAGTGTCGACGAGGTAACGAACTTTCGTAGTCACATCTGTGACGTATAACAGACGGCTGTGTTCGCCGGCTACGGTTGCCGTTAAAGCGTGCCGGCTGGGAAGCTTCCCGAAATCTTATTCGTGTTATTCGATTTTGGGGTCGGATAATTGCAGGGTCTCCTGCAAATTCTGGAAAACTTACCGTACTGGTTATGATACCAGCACCAGTCGGGATTGTCTGTCTCTCGTGGTCGAGAGCCAGATCGCCTACGTGAGACACTTCTACGCGGGGTTTTTGACCGACTACGGTCATTACGAACTCTAAGATATCGTATAAGCGTGTGACATAGTTCGGTGATGTCAGACGGGGTCGATTGAGGTTTTTCCTTGACGGAAAAAACCTCGTCTTTAGAAGATTTAGTGATTTCCAAGATTCGGTCGGCAGATGCAGCCAGCTCATCTATGGCGTTGTTTTGAAATGAGACGAGCACTTCCTGCACCTGTTGAGGGAGTTTAGACAAGAAGAGTTGTCTGAACAGGCCATCATCGAAAGTTCGTTGGCCGATAACCTCTCTAATTCTTAGCAACATGTCTGTCGCAGAAACCCGTTGCAAGTCGATGTTATGGAAGAGTTGGTCTAACCGTTGTCGGTCGGTTAGGTCTCCACGTTTTAGAATTTAACATTTGAGAGTTTCGTAAGGTTCGGGAACATCACTAGTAAACATACTAGGTGTTACGTACCTGTTAAACTCGCGCGGTAACGCCTTAACTACAGCGAAGAAACGTGTGCGCGAGTCCGTGATTCCGTGCATGCAAAAATCAGCTTCTGCGTAGCAGAACCAGGACTCGATATTGTCGGGCCAAAATGGCGTTAACTGGATCGAAATAGGGGGAATAGACTTTAACTTAAAGACCTAAGTTGAGTGTTTCGTCATAGTAATATAGATAACGAAAAATGTCTAATTAAAATATATCCGAGAAAAAAAATTCGCGGAAAAACAGTATATCACAATATATAAAATTAAAATAAACAATAACAATGAATAATAATGTTCCAAAATGGAACAGACTCACAATATATTGGCTTGGTGTACCAGATCACGTCGGTCTCACTACTGAGGATACCACGGATATTCTAGTTTGGCAACTAGCAACCAGTAGTATCTTCTATAATCGATCGTTCCCAGTCGAATAGAAACCAGAAGTCAGACGAGGAGAGACAGGAAAGATATATTTGATTCGTTACCAATATATCGAGGAACCTTTACTATAAGCTGGCTAATGAACGTAGGAGCTGTGTCCCACACTGAGTCGAAACGTGATCTGGTACGGATGCATGACCGAAAGCCTTCAGTTAAACAAGTCCACTTAAACAACGTGGTCAGCATCCAATGTCGAACACTTAATGAGCAATTGATTTTGGGGAATTATTTACAGCTGCAGTCCATACGCAGTGCTTTTAGTCATCTCGACGCTAAAACGTTTCTGACTTTGTATACAGTGTTCGTATGTCCTTGACTTGAGTACGGCATACAAGCAGCTAGCGCCTGCCTAAAAAAGACAGTAAACTCTTGGAAAGGGTTTAGAGAACAGCAACTAGGCTGATTCCCGGAATAGCGAAGCTCCCGTATGGTACTAGACTGACCAAGCTAAACCTATTCCCGCTGTCATATCGAAGAATCAGAGACGACTTGATTACAGTTTTAAATTGCTCAATGACAAATTTGCACCTGATATGCTCTCATTTTTCTTGTCTTCCAAAACAGAAAATTTACGAGGACACTCCAAAAAACTTCACAAGCCCAGAACGAATTACTTGTCAACTGAATACCAACTTTCCCATCGAATCATCAACGAGTGGAATTCATTACCTCAGCACGTGGTTGAGGTTCCATCCGTCGACTCCTTCAAAAGAAAGTTGGATCAGCTGAGAGACCATCATTGCCAGGACTGAATTAGGCCATCAAGCCTCCCGTCCTTTCCAAACTGAAAGTGAACAATTGGCGTTGATAGTTTTTTCTGCCCGCTTTCTGAATTTATACAGGAATTGTGTAGAACATTACTGTAAGTGCCATTTAAGTTAGCCAAATACTCTTCTTAAGTAAAGCGATGCGTTTTGTTATACAACTTATGACTTCTGTCAACTAATTGAAAGGCTCAAATCTTTGTAATAATCAAGTCTATGCAGGTGAACAACTTGGCGAATTTCTTAATATGGAAGTTTATGCGGAGAAACAATTCACACACTGACGATAACTGTTTTGTATTGACTACTACCGCGTTTATTAATCTAATAAGTTATTGAAATATAATATAAATATAACAACTGTAGTTTTTCGCACTTTAAATCTTTTTAGTATGTGTATGGTCTAGTTCGGTACTAATACTACTTTCATAATAGACGTTGTCCGATAACGGTAAATTTATCGTTTGGTTGCCTAGTCCGTAGGATCTAACGTCAAAATCGCATCACTATCTACACTGACCCATCTTACCGCGACAAATAACAATACTTAGTACTTCTGAAGAACACACTTATGCTTGGGATAGAATAATATATTTAATGTGAATATAAATAAGTTAAACATAATTAGCGCGTCTGCAACACTGAATCATGCCATTCCATTGAATGATTATCTCCACGTTCACCACTTCCGACCTTCTCCAAGTGTTACATCTTTTTAGTTATTATATGCTTGACTCCGGAGACCGTGTGATTAGCAAACAATGCCACTCCAATTATTCATCCGAATATACTGATCGTAAATAGGACTGCAGGAAGAGAAATGTTTGAGAAATGGCAGTCTTACCTAGTTATTGATTTTTAAGTGATAATTGTCTACTTTTTTCTTCACCACTATGGCGAAGTGTTCGCCATATTTTTCTAATATCTGTTGTTTATGGATTTTCTGGCTTCTTTGAATTGGTATATACTCTTCACTCCGTCTGGGTAATGATATTGTTGCATTATAATGAAATTATGCGAGTTATTTAACTTCCATCGGCTGTATCGTCTAAGTATGTGATGAGCTAATTAGTTTATTTATTTCGTAGTTGATTAAGCTTACCTGTAAGAGTTGGTCTTTTTACATATGTCAGTAGTATATGACGACAAGGATATCGACAAGTCATAAATGTTCGACAATGGCACTCGCAAGTGCCTGCATCTAGTTCATAACACCACAAAACTGTATTTAAATCGCACGTCCTTCAGCAGTTTACTTTCGCCGTGAATGTTATGCGTACGGGTGGTCTGAAAAGGGATGGAATTATGCAACCTTACTTTTTGGAACTCCTTAAACACACCATCGAATTCAATTCAGTTTCCAAAACGCCTGCTCAGTATTATGCGTTGAAACGCCTCACTTAAGTCGACCGAAATGTCTCTGGAACATAAATCACTACAAACATTACTCGTTAATTACCAAAAAACAGCTATTTCATGCGATAATACTTCAGTAACTGAAGAAAGGACTACAAACATTTAGGAATTACGGGTAACTCGTTATGTCGTCTTAATTCTTGCAGAAAACAATGATTGGAACAAATTCATAGTATCTCTTACTGATAATTTATACTGAATACGCAGTTTTGCGGACCCCTACGAATTTTAAACAAGGAGAGTGAGATTCAGTAGGGTAATTGGTATCCCAGGTCAAGTTACAAGGCAAAAAAGAAGCCAAATTGTACACTACAAAACAGAGTAAGCTAAATAAACGCTTTTGGCATTGATTTTGCGAATTTACTACAGCTAAAAGCAACGCAAATACGATAAAACCTGATATTCGTGTAACCCAGTGGACAACCCTCAACAAGTCAAATACGGAATGACCGCCTTGTGTCAGGCCGTTCAAGGTCGCGAAAGGGAAACAGCGTGCAGGTTTGAAAACGCACTGACTTATTTACCTTGCCATTTATTTCCCTTGCCTGATAACTCTCTGCAATCTTATCCCAAATTACCCTACATACACGTGTCTAGTCCAAATGTCAGAAGTTAAGGTAACTTATGTTTTGTTCATATAATGTTACTTATTGGCTAGTTAACAGATTTTCGGTGAGACTATAATTTACGGACAACCTTAAGGATATCTAGGGGAAAAGTCGGCTATTCCTCGGATATTTAGGGGGAAAATCGGAAATTTAGCGACATTTAAAAAACATCGACAGAAAGGGGAAATTCCGCTCTATTTCCCACGGACAGGCGAAAAAGCAAACATTTTGGCGCATTTCCCCTTTATTTACGACTTATTTTTCAATGCATTTTCCGCTTTATTTCCCCTTTGTTCGCCTTTATTTCCCCTTTATTGGTTGTTTGGGTTTGAGCGACGTAAAAATGGCCTTGAGAATTTACACCTATTTGCTAGGGCTAAATGAGTTATAAACTTATATGAAAAATAAGGATTATGATTTACAGTTAGTGTTTAGGGTTAGGAATTAGATTCAAAGTTCTCATCACGAACTGATATCATGATATCAGTTCGCTGCAGCTAAAATCCCAAAACGCCCTTCAACTAAATGGATGAAATTTTTGGGTTTTCTTCAATATTTCCTTAAAGTCTGTCCAGAATTTTCTAATTCTTTTGAAAAATTTATGTATGTCTTTCGATACTACCCCATGTTTCTTTGCATTTCGAGGGAACTGCCCATAATTCCTGGTTTCACAAATATTTTTCGAAAGTTTGAGGAAACCCATTTATGTTCTTCAAGAAAAAACCCCACGAGATCCCCCATTTTCCTGGAAAGCATATGGACTTTGTGGGAGGTACCTATAGTTTACTGTGCATTTATTCATAATTCCTTCTCAGTTAATTTCGTACGTCTTAGTTCAAACATAGGACCTGAGTTTATTTCAGGCAAAGGCTTCAGAGGTCTTTTAAGCACTAAGACAAAAATGTTTAGGGTATCATACCCGATTTCTATGAGGCTGTATTCTCTAGTCTTTTTCATGAAGACAGTCTGTGACCCCTAAACCTATTCCCGTTATCTTACCACAGGTTACGGGGTGATCTAATGTTCGCTTATCGTACACTAAGCGATGATCTTGGAATTTATTTGTCTTATCGTTTCCATCCATGTAGGGCATCATTTGGAAGGAAATTTTAAGGAAGTTCAAAATGTGAGATCAAATTGTTTACGTCTGGAGTTGTTTTTCGCACCGAGTAGTGAATTACTGGAATTCTCTACTGGAACACGTAATATCAGCACATTCTATTGATACATTCAAAGCGAAATTAGACCTTTATAGTGCTACAACTTGCTAGGATTAACATAGGTTGATACTTTCAAGGAGCAACCGAATTTCTACGTTATTAGTACTAGAAGAATTATTCCTAGCCCACTTATCTGTCCTTAATAGTTAGGAATGAACATCAGAAATTCAGTCAGTCAGTCACAACGTAGAACTTCGTACGTACATACATCAGTCCGAGTTGCCATACCACATTAGCACAGAGATGCAGTTGTCGATTCAAATCCCATAGTGGTAGAAGTAGTAGAAGTATAATCAGAAATCCAAAAGATTAGGGTTTGAAGAAATTATTGAAGTAGTATAGTACAGTGAAATAAATTTGGAAAGAGAAAAAGATAAAGACATGAGGAATTCAGAAGATTAGAATTTGGTAGAACATCAGAAATTAGACCATCTGTTACGGTTAAAGGTATATCGATCTAAGTATCTGTCGTCTCAAAACCCATTATAACCTCGTCTGCTAAGTTTCATAAAAATTTTGCACAGTAAACATGTTTTTAGCAATAACGTTCCACTTATCCCATACCTATTAGCTTATTGAGTGAAATTTTGAACCAAAAGGAGACTAATGAAAGCAGAAAAGCAACAGGGGGATACATTAAAGTATTTGGTTCTCCAGACTCTTCCAATGGAGTAGGGTGTTACTGGTTTAGAGAAAAATCGAAAAATTTAAGAATAATTTTGAATATATAGTTGTAGCTGTCTGTGGGTCAAATATCAAATGCTTGATACAACTAGGTATTGTCATTAACTTACACAACTCTGGCTCAAAACCTAGCATACAAATAAAAAATTGGTTTCTAAATTGAACTCAACTTTGAGTTGAAAGGTTACTGAAATTTACTGTGAAAATTATTGTAGCATCTGAGGCGTCACCACTATGTCTGTTACACAGTGGCATATTGAAACAGCGTGTCGAAGCCTCAATGACACCTAAAGGACCTGGTTTTACTGGGCTTTGAATATAATAAATCTTAGGCATTCATTAGGAATGTAAAATTTAACATAAAATACGAATGAAGTTTTACTTGCCATTAAAGTTATGATTGGACTTACCGGTTACTGTTGCTTGAGGCTGGCCACGCGTCTTTATGAGGTTGTTTCCGCGGAGTTCATTTCACCTTAAGGTTGGCATCAGAAGTCCGTGGAGCACCGTGTAGACTGTTTTACGGTTTACAATTCTACGCTTCCCTGTTTGTGGAAACACAACATCACTGGATACTATTTATATCTGGGACTAACTAAATACTACCATATCCTGTCACAGTCAGCTAAACAGCTGCCTAGTTTCTAGAGACGTTTGGTATCGTTACTTGAAAGTAGTTTCAATAAAATCTCGAAACAAATATTTGGACGGATGTAAAGTTTGATGAATTTATGTAGGATTGGTTTCTAATGGGTTACATTTTCAAACAAGCAATTGGATGAACCATATTTTAAAAAAGACTTTTATATTTTGGTAAAGTTAGTATCATATTCTTCGAAAGGTTTGGAAATCGATCGGTTGCCGAACTGATATTCACCGTTTTCTGTGGAGTTTTCATTTACATTTTTTACCAGGTCTATGGTAAGTTCGAAAAATGGTTATTATTGGGTAAACTGTCTCATTTAAACTAGTTATTAAACTTTGACATATTTTTACGTCTTTGTTAAAACATCTTATGTTTACATATTTTCTTAAAAGCTCATGGTTGTGTGAACAATAAATATTTAGTTTTAACAAATCCCCACGATTCGTAGTTTTATAATTCATCACTATATACGGCTATGTTAATTTATTTTCAAATATGTTTAATAAAGCTTCAGACACACTCTATCTAAAATGTGGTTATCCTTACTGTTTACATATTAGGTTGGAATTATTGGAGGTTCTGGATTCGACGATCCAGATCTATTACAAAACGCAAAAGTTCGGACTGTAACTACTCCATTCGGAAATCCATCAGGTGTTCTTACTGAAGGTTTTGTTAAAGGTGTCCCGTGTGTTGTGCTTCCCAGGTAATCATCTTTCACAAAAGTGATTCGTTTGTAACACATTTATTCATTTGACTAGAATAAGCTGTTGTATTGAATCCATTTTATGATATAACCCCCAAAGCCCTGGTACGGCCGAAAGTGGGAAGGGTCCGCTCTCCCTCTCGAAATGCTCTCTCACAGCCACGCGTATATAGCATCTGCCAGGGAAGTCCTATTCACTGCCTTCTCGTGGCGGGAGTGTTGTTTACGAAACTGAGAAGACGGAAAGCGAATGTCTGGCGCTTTAATCGGTTTGGTGGACACGGAAAGTCCACCTAGGGGAGTTGGAAAACCCTGATTCCAAACCAATGGTGCACATGGGCTCCAGTATCGTGAGGGAACAAATGGCGTATGAACAAATCGTTGATCACCCACTACCATGGGACTGCATCTCCTCACGATGCTCCACTGCCTTGTGAATCAGACCTTTAGGTCAAAGGCTCCGGGTGTGGGCCCTAAGAAAACCACCTGTTTCAGTTTGGGCACCTGGGCAGTATCATAGCCCTCACACAAGTCTCATTTGATCTGTGTGGCGCATATATATCTGGTGCCCCTTTGTACCAACATTTATGTTCAAATAATAAATAATAAAAATAATATATCGATTCCAAGATCTGTCCTAAACGTACTCTGGTAGCTGTCATTGGACCGGGCAATAGGGTTGAGAAAGCCACATACGTACATGTGTTAATTGTATGAGAACTAGAATTAAACGTTTTGTCATGTACAAATCAATTACGATTGCGTACACACACTAAAATAACTTATTTTTATAGTCCATTATCCATTCCTCATCGTTTTCTAGGTTATTTTTCTAAGTGATCAGATGTTGGCCTTATCTAGTTATAGGACATCTTTAACCAATTTGTACCTATCTACATTTCTTACTATCTTTTGACCCGCATATTCATTCGTGTATCATTTTTGTTGCCAGTTTTACGCTTGTCTGGGTTTTAAATCAAATTAATGACTGGAAGCCTGAGTGACCAATTTTAAGTCGGAAAAACTAATGTTAGAAATCATGTAAATATTTATCTATGATGTCTACGTATTATGCCAAAATGCTCGGCATTATTAATAGTCAGGAAATACGCCACACAAAACAAAGTGACAGCATTTTCACGTGGGGTAAAAAAAATAAAAAAAGGAAATAAAGGGTGCTATGCAATTTACACCACTATCGAAGTACACTTTATAGTTTATAGAATGCATAAAATTGGCTACTGATCATCTCTTTTCTCACTCAGTCCTAGTAGTAGCTATACAGTGCTTTATACGAAAACGTTTGAGTTATCATGTGTAGAGATTTATTAAAGTCATCAAGAATGGTGTTTTGAAATATTACTACGCGTAATGTAATGATCTTGACTTTGGAACAATATATATAAGCGAACAATATTGTTTTCGATTATATCCTCATCAGGCTTTACTTTAATATGCAGTAATATTTATATACATATACTAACTTATTAAACTAATCAAGGTAGTGATAACAGTGAAATAGATTATATAAATAAACATATTAATTGAAAAATACAAATTGATAGTCTGGTGACAGGTGTACTAGTAAACAATAGATGATTTTAAATTCATTTTGTATTGTTTGTTTGAATCTTCCCATTGATGTTTAGGTCTGCAATTGATCGGTCTCTTATTGGCATAAATGTGCATCCTGTGCGGATTGCCTCGATAGTGCCTTAAGTCGCAAGCATTATAAGCAAAGATGGATAGTGGCTAGCAGTGGAATGCAGGACGCGGGTTTCCTCCTATTCGGGACTTGTCAGCTGGATTGTTATTTTCCATGCTCTATGTTCGTTTATTTTTCTCCACCCCTCCCACCTATTTTTTATAATCGCTTCATTGTTCAATCATCCTAATGCGTAATCATAATTTTTATTAATGTTATTTCAGTGTGTATAGATATCATTGACCTATTTCCTACTATGAAACATGGATTCAAGCCTTTATTATTCTTATCACAGCTAGTACAACTGTCATCACACTATCAATTTGTACTTTCCACTTATTATGATTATTTATGTAATCTATTCGACTGATATCACTGACTCATAAACTACCGTGATTGGTTTACTGATTTCGCATATGTATATAAATATTGCTGTATATTAGAGTAAAGCCTGAAGAGGATCTAATTGAAAACAGTATTGCTTGCTTATATATATTTTAATTCACAATATGTGAATTCGTCAGATCTTGACTTTGTCCAAAAAAAGTTACCAAACCTTTGCATTAATTATACGGTATTCCTGTTGAATGTGAACAATCCTGTAAGTACATCAATGGTCAGTACAAACAGTATTCGGTAAACCTGAAGTATACTGTCGAACGACCTTGAGGTGCTAACCGATTCGGCCATTTAGTAGATGCCGAAGATTAATGAATGACTTATTATGCGATGAATAGAATATGTTTTTAGGGTTCATGCATTGCGGTTTATGTCAGTTTGTGATGAAAACCTCAACCCTGACACTCAATTCTAATTCATAACACATTCCTAACCCTATTTTAATAGTTGTTCCACAACTTATCCCGTTTCTCATTGGTTCGGTAGCATGCTGTAAGTTAGCCGATTATTCCAACATCTTCAGCTCGAAAATACTCTGTTTAACAAAGGTTGGGCAGAACTACTCGCACGACAACGTTTTGCTGCGAGACTAATCGCTTGACAGCACCAAAGGTTGCGCGATTCGCTATGAATAATTTTGGCTGCTGGTACATGTAACTGATTTTCTTCATCTCATTTCTCACGTGAGTATATACATATGTGACAATTATTCACAGAAACTCTTACCAGTCTTGTAGAAGCACTTTACATGAATAAAAAGTGAATCTGAATATTAGTTAAGAGTTGGTTATGTGTAACTTAAGTGGCAAATATTTTCATTTCAGTTAAAAAAAATATTATAGGTCTGTTTGAATTTGTAAAACTGTTAAGTCAAAATGCTTTTACCATTTTAATTGTTTAATGAACTGGTATACATAAATATTCGTGCACATTTAGTTGTAAATGAATTAACTTTGACGACTGACTATAAATGTTTAAATTTTTCAGAAAGATTCATGTTAGTAAGATTAGCCACTTGAATACTTAGTGGCCTTGGTTAGTGTCCAACTAAGAAGCTGTTAACTTTTGTACTGAATTCGGTATGTAATATGTATACTGACTTGACTAGTTATTGGATCTCCCTTTAAATAAACTGTCTGTATGTATGACCATCAAGAGTCAACTGAATGGTTTCAGTCCAACATAATTCGTGGTATTTGAACAAGGGGATCTATTTTCAATATTTGCTAGATATTCATCACCCAAACCAATGTTTCATTTTTGAATAAGTTTCTGTTACATCATACTGTTTTCGATTTATTAAAAACTAACTATCCACAACTTAATACCAAACAGTTTTGGAAAAGCTAGCTAAATGGTCTAATCCAGAGAAATATTTTTACAGATAATTACATCAGCATCTTCAAACGCTGGATGTATAAGTCATTGTGATCATTCATACATAATTACAAAGGTATTTTTGGAGCTGAGTGCAACAACTATCTGTATTGGATCTCTGAAACTTTGCACAAACTTTTAAAAATATTTTCACCTTAATCTACATGTTATTGAAATGAATTTTAGTTCTTAGTGTATACGTACTTTTGTGCGTGATGAAGGCTAAGGATTACTCTGTTCGATAACACTGACATGGGTTATGAATGACTTGATCATTTTTGTCTTGCAGGCACGGAAAGGAACATTTACTGCTGCCAAGCGAGATCAATTATCGGGCCAACATTTGGGCGTTAAAAGAACTTGGGTGTACTCACATATTAGCCACAAACGCTTGTGGTAGTCTGCAGAAAGACAAAAAACCTGGTGATTTCGTTGTTCTTAACCAGTTTTACGATAATACTCAAAATCGAGAGCTTACGTTTTATGGAAGTGGGCCTGGCTCACTGAAAGGAGTCTTACATATGCCGATGGCAGACCCATTTTGTGAAGAAACACGTCAGGTGAGTTTTCGGATAATTAACTAGGGAGACTCGTTTCGCGTTTTTAGTCAAGAGGTAACGTAATTCACTTGGAGATGTTAGCTGTTTGGTCAAGACAGTTTTTAGTGCTTTGGCACTATGCTTCGAAATTCCACAACTTTGTTTGGTTTGTCTTCAGTGATGCTTTTTTAATATTTATGTTACAAGATCTCACGTGTTGATGGTTTTTCTGTTTGGATTGAAAATGTTAAACAACATTCAAATGTTTTGGCAGTTGCTAAACCTATCGAAGCGTCTAATCACACGATTAAGGTATACACGAAATCAAGTTTCACAAAACAGCGATTTGTTTGAAAAGCGATTCTCTATTGAATAATATACGTATATCTGTGGCGCTTCGTGCGTCTGTAAGTCTGAAATATAAAGGGCTTCCTGCAAAATAAGGTAGTGCAAACGACAGATAATTGCTGTGTCTGGCCTTGAAAACAGTTAATCAACAACCAAAAGCGAAACTAAGAGCAGACAATACGGAAACTTGCGTTTACTTACTCTTACGTACGCCCGTTACCCCCAATGGAGCGTAGGCCGCCGACCAGCATTCTCCAACCCATTCTGTCCTAGGCCTTCCTTTCTAGTTCTATTTAACTTTTGTTCATTTTTGTCATGCCTGTCTTCATTTCTCGGTGTAATGTGTTCTTCGGTATTCCTCTTTTCCTTTGGCCCTCAGGATTCCATGTGAGGGCTTGCCTTGTGACGCAATTGGGTGCTTTCTTCAATGTGTGTCCTATCCACTTCTAGCACTTCTTCCTGATTTCTTCCTCTGCTTTAAATCTGGTTTGTTCTCTCCCACAGTAGGTTGCTGCTGATGCTGTCTGGCCAACGGATCTGAAGTATTTTGTGTAAACGACTGTTAATAAACACATGTGTCTTTTGGATGATGGCTTTCGTAGTTCTCCAGGTTTCCTCTCCATACAGTAGAACTGTCTTGACATTTGTATTAAAAATTCTGATCTTGGTGTTGGTTGACAATTGTTTTGAGTCCCAGATGTTCTTCAATTGTAAATATGCTGCTCTTGCTTTTCTGATTCTCACCTTCACATGTGCAACAGATCCACCGTGTTCATCAATGATGCTTCCCAGATATGTAAAGGTTTCCACATCCTCCAAAGCTTCTCCGTCAAGTGTGATTCGATTGGTGCATGTTGTGTTGTATCGGAGAATCTTGCTTTTCCTTTTGTGTATATTGAGACCTACTGCTGCTGAGGCTATTGCTACACTGGTTGTCTTATCCTGCATTTGTTGTTGCGTGTGTGATAGAAGAGCCAAATCATCTGCGAAGTCTAAATCGTCTAGCTTCATCCCAGCTGTCTATTGTATCCCGTACTTCCCTCCAGATGTTGACGTCTTCATGATCCAGTCGATCACCAGGAGAATGAGAAAAAGTGAAAGTAAGCAACGTTGCCTGACACTGGTCTTTACCTCGAACGAGTGAGTGAGCTGTCCTCCAAGCACGATTTCGCGGTTTAATCCATCATAAGAATTCCGTATGATATTGACTATCTTCTCAGGCACGCCGTAGTGTCTAAGAAGCCTCCATAGTGTTGTCCTGTCCACGCTATTAAAAGCTTTCTCGTAGTCAATGAAGTCGATGTAAAGTGATGAATTCCGTTCAATTGATTGTTCCACAATGATCCGTAGAGTTGCGATTTGGTCTGTACACGATCAATCTTTACTGAATTCAGCCTGTTGGTCTCGAAGTTGGACGTCCACGGAGTCTCTCATTCTGTTTAACAAAACCCTGGTATTGAGAGAAGAGTGATGTCTCTGTAGTTATCACACTTGCTGAGATCGTCTTTCTTTGGTATTTTGATCAGAAGTCTTCCTTTCCCACTCTGTTAGTACTTGTTTTTCATCCCAAATCTTATTGAAGAGAATGTGGAGTATCTTCGCAGTTGCTGCTACATTTGCTTTCAGTGCCTCTGCCGGAATGTTGACTGGTCCTGCTGCTTTGCCGTTCTTGATTTGACTGACGGCCATGCTGATCTCTTCAATTGTTGGTGGGTCAACATCTATTGGGGGTCCGTGGGTGCTACTCCGATGTTGGGTGGGTTCAGTGGAGATGATCAATTCAAGAGTTCTTCGAAGTGTTCTACCCACCTGTTTCGTTGTTCTTCAATGTTGGTGATTACCTTGCCTTCTTTGCTTTTCACTGGTCGTTCTGGTTCAAAGTAATTTCCAGCAAGTTTCTTTGTTGTGTCGTACAGTTGTCTTGTGTTTCCTTCTCTTGCAGCCTTTTCCACCGTCATTACTAAATCTTCCACATATTTACGTTTGTCGGGTCTGATGCTCCTCTTCACTTGCTTGTTCGCTTCTGTGTATTCGACTCTTACCTTGGCCTTTTCTGCTCTTTTTCGGCGGGTATTGATTGCTACCTTCTTGTTCCTCCTTTCTTCAATCTTATCCAGTGTATAAACAGTGATTCATTACTTGTGGTTGTGTTCTTTGTGGCCCAGAACCTCTTGATATGTTGGAGTGATTGCCTCTTTTATCCCTTTCCAGTTGCTCTACATAGTAGTTCCCTCTCCATTGAGTAGATCATAAAAGGCCTGGAACTTATTGTTGAGGGCTATCTTGAGTTAATTGAGTTTGTCAGTATCCCGAAGAAAAGTCGTATTAAACTTTTGTGATGTTGTCCGTCCCGTTATCCAATGCTTCTTAAGTCTTAATTTTATCTTGTTGACCAGCAAGTGATGATCTGATGCTATATCAGCTCCTCTCCTGGTTCTCACATTTTCCATCGTACTCCTGAACGTTTTGTTGATGCAGATATGGTCGATTTGGTCTTGCGTTGTGTAATTTGGTGAAGACCATGTGGTTCTGTGAATGCGTTTATGTGGGAATATAGTTCCGCCTATGATCGCACAAGCAATTCCATGTACTTAAATAAATGGTTGCTCTGGTTGTCAGAAGGTGCATCAACTTCGTGACTTCTGAAGGAACTCGGCTTTCATCATGGGACGTCATAACTCTTCTAAATGAAGATCTAACTCCCAGGGTAGGATTTAAATAGTTTGAATTAGTTTTTCCGGTTAGCGTTTTTTCGCGAGTCGGCTTTCTACGGGATAGGGTCGTTAACCCCATGTCCAACCATCCTCCTTTATCCGGGCTTGGGACCGGCTATTACTACAATATCTGTCGAACGCTCTTTCTGAAGAACTGTTAATTGGTGGTAGAATTTGTCCTTGATTGCATCCAGGCTGAAATCTGTCGGGGCATAGGCGGAGATGACGAATAGACATCGTTTCTGACGCTGATTTCTCTTCACTTTGATAGAGCTTTCTAATCTAACAGCATATAACCGACTGTTAATGGGGATCCAATCGATTAATGCTGCCTCAGTTCTAGCGCTTAGTGCGACACCAATGCCAGCAAAGCCAGACAAAGATGCTACAGGGTTCCCGGATAAACGCACGTAAAACAACCCTTTTTGAGCGACAAATGGAGAGCGAATTCATAGTACTTCACCAAAGTCTTGAATACGGGTCTCGGATAGACAAAAAACATCGATATTAAGACTTTCTAAAGACATAGCCAGCCCTATCTGTTGTCCGATCTGCATTAGTGTGCGAACGTTGAAGGAAGTCAGTTTGAATGGTGTACGTGGTTTCAGAAAGACTGGTTTAGTATACGTATTCAGTAGAAGCATTCACTTTCGACCAGACAGTGGCTGGAGATCGTTTAGATAGGACAGAGTTTCCACCATGGGCGAGCTGCTGTATAAGTTGAAAAATCGGTGTACATGAAGTGGGGATAGAGGAAGATAAGTGACGTAGCATATTTAAAAAAATGATAATTGTAATAATAAAAATGAGTGTTATCAAGTTAATGTGAATTGTTTGAATTCTAATTGGAGCGAGCATCGTATTCCGTGAAGTAATTGCCATCTCATTAGATTTATGTGAGGCCTATGATACTGCCCAGGTGCCCAAACTGAAACAGGTGGTTTTCTTAGGGCCCACACCCGGAGCCTTTGACCTAAAGGTCTGATTCACAAGGCAGTGGAGCATCGTGAGGAGATGCAGTCCCATGGTAGTGGGTGATCAACGATTTGTTCATACGCCATTTGTTCCCTCACGATACTGGAGCCCATGTGCACCATTGGTTTGGAATCAGGGTTTTCCAACTCCCCTAGGTGGACTTTCCGTGTCCACCAAACCGATTAAAGCGCCAGACATTCGCTTTCCGTCTTCTCAGTTTCGTAAACAACACTCCCGCCACGAGAAGGCAGTGAATAGGACTTCCCTGGCAGATGCTATATACGCGTGGCTGTGAGAGAGCATTTCGAGAGGGAGAGCGGACCCTTCCCACTCTCGGCCGTACCAATGCATTCTGGGGCAAATTATTTTTACTCCGTGCGAAGACTGAGTTGGAAAGGATGAGATAAGACTCATTGTGTTTTGCCTTCCTACGGAAATCTTTAGTAAAATGCGAAAGATTTATCCGCGATGAGGAGACACCAGAGTTATGAAACATTACACAAAAGATGATTAACGGGATCAATGTGCTACTATAAGGTTTACTTATCGAGTTAAAATACACTGATGATATTGTACTATTGAGTAAAGACGCTGACAAAATTCAAAATCTGTTGATCGCCTTTTACAACATAAGCATGTTCGTGATGAGTTTCTATCCTTCAAAACTCTAAATGTTGCTTCAGGATTAGTTTGCATCAACGCTAAATACGATAGTAGGTAGTGTAATTGTTGAGTATACTGACTACTCCACTCATCTTTTAAATCTCATCAGCCTTTGTGGTTTAGTGTCTGAGGAAATCTCGGTACGGATTCGTAAAGCTCAGTTGTCCTTTGCAAACGTTAGTCACGCATGATATATGTGAAATGTCCGTCTGTTAACCAAAGCGCGTGTATACTGTACAACACTTTTCTTTGTATCTTAAAGCTGTAAATTATGATCTTTGCAAGTCGAAGACATGCTTAGACAACTAGTTTCTTATCATAGGTATTTTCATAGCATTACTCACATATCCTAGAAGGACTGAATGAGTTCTAAAGTTAAACATAGAGTACTAAACAAAGATGGGGAATAGGTTGATGAGGTAGTGAATCATCAGCTGAGACGGTTAGAACATATATTACATATTCCCAACCACCTCCTACTTCAACATACGATGTTGAGTGGTTTAGGAGTAATTTGGGACAAAACTATGGGCAGCCAACTCAAGACGTGTCATCAGTCCATAAAATCACTGACTTTTTCATCTGAGGTATGGCGATAAGTCCAGACTGAGACTGTAAATGGTAAAGTTTTGTTTTAATTAACTTATTCGGGAGTTCAACACCAACTTCTTGTATGCTTTATTTTTCCAGGTTTTAATCAAAGCAGCTAAAAATCTATCACTAACTATTCGTGATAAAACGTGTAGTTCAGATACAATTAGCAATCATCCGTGTGTGCATACTGAAGGTTCTGTAATTACTATTAATGGTCCACGTTTTTCAACTCGTTGCGAATCATTGTTATTTCAAAAATGGGGTTTCGATTTGATCAATATGACATTAGTTCCTGAGGTTTCATTGGCTCGCGAAGCTGGTTTAAGTTATGCTTCTATAGCAATCGTTACAGATTTCGATTGTTGGAAAGCAGATGAGGAACATGTGAGAAAGTTATATATACTGCCTATTTTTGCATAGTATTTTATAGATACACACATAAGGATGTCCAGTAATTTTGTTATATTTTCAATGTAGGGTTGAGAATTGCAGTGGAATTGTGATTGTATTCGGCTTTGAATTTGAGGATATTTATTCATTCTTAAACATTGCATTTCTAGGAAGTCCTAAACTAAAGCATAATCGTTATTAATTTTTACTTAGTAGAAAAAAACCTAGGAATTTCTATGATTTATTAATTAAGACACTCAGTTTTTTTAACCATTAGATTCAGATTGAAATCGAAGTCTATTTATTTCTGTCTGGTCAGTTAGGTAGTATTACTATTCCTTTCACAAAATATTGTGACTCAAATCCGAGTATTTAACCATTTACTTAACACATGAATGTAACAGCAACTGCCAAGATACTCCACATCCTCTTCGGTAAGATTTGGGACGAAGAACATGTACCAACAGACTGGAAAGAAGGACTTCTCATCAAGATACCAAAGAAAGGCGATCTGAGCAAGTGCGACAACTACAGGGGCATCACTCTCCTCTCAATACCAGGAAAAGTCTTCAACAGAGTATTGTTAAACAGGATGAAGGATTCCGTGGACGCTCAACTTCGAGATCAACAAGCTGGATTTCGTAAGGATAGATCGTGCACAGATCAAATCGCAACTCTACGTATCATTGTGGAACAATCAATCGAATGGAATTCATCACTGTACACCAACTTCATCGACTATGAGAAGGCATTTGATAGCGTGGACAGGACGACACTATGGAAGCTTCTTCGACACTACGGCGTGCCTGAGAAGATAGTCAACATCATACGGAACTCCTATGATGGACTAAACTGCCAAATCGTCCACGGAGGACAACTCACCGACTCGTTCGAGGTAAAGACCGGTGTTAGGCAAGGTTGCCTACTCTCACCCTTTCTCTTTCTCCTGGTGATCGACTGGATTATGAAGACGTCAACATCTGGAGGAATGCACGGGATACAGTGGACAGGCAGGATGCAGCTTGACGATTTAGACTTCGCGGATGATCTGGCTCTTCTATCACAAACGCAACAACAAATGCAGGAGAAAACGACCAGTGTAGCAGTAGCCTCAGCAGCAGTAGGTCTCAATATAAACAAAGGGAAAAGCAAGACTCTCCGATACAATACAATATGCACCAATCAAATTACACTTGACGGAGAAGCTTTGGAGGATGTGGAAATCTTTACATATCTGGGCAGCATCATTGATGAACACGGTGGATCAGATGCAGATGTGAGGGCGCGGATCGGCAAAGCAAGAGCAGCATACTTACAACTGAAAAACATCTGAAGCTCAAAACAATTGTCAACCAACACCAAGGTTAGAATTTTCAATACAAATGTCAAGACAGTTCTTCTGTATGGGGCAGAGACGTGGAGAACTACGAAAGCCATTATCCAGAAGATACAAGTGTTTATTAACAGCTGTCTACGCAAGATACTTCGGATCCGATGGCCAGACACTATCAGCAACAAGTTACTGTGGGAGACAACAAACCAGATTCCAGCGGAGGAAGAAATCAGGAAGAAGCGCTGGAAGTGGATTGGGCACACTTTGAGGAAATCACCCAATTGTGTCACAAGACAAGCCCTCACATGGAATCCTGAAGGTCGAAGGAGAAGAGGAAGACCAAAGAACACATTACGCCGAGAAATAGAGACAGACATGAGAAGAATGAACAAGAAGTGGAAAGAACTAGAAAAGAAGGCCCAGGACAGAGTGGGTTGGAGAAAGCCGGTCGGCGGCCTATGCTCCATTGGGAGTAACAGGCGAAAGTAAGTAAGTAAGTTAACACATGAAACATATTACAATTCTTATTGTTGACTAATCAACCAAACACCAATGTTTTCACTAAATAAATGGATAACCAATCGGTATTGTAGTTTAATTTCTGATAGAAATTGGATGACATAACTAGCTGGTTTCTTTTTGACTGGAACCATTGTCATTCATGTTTTCTATTTGATTGATGGATAATAATTTAAGCATAGAATTAGGCTACGTTTGTGGGACTATTAACTAAATCTGTTATAACAATGCGTTTTATTTATTATATGTTACTGATCTCTTGAATAGTCAACCGATATATTGCATTGAACTAATGAAACTTTAAAAAACTAAAAACTGAATAATTACTAAACGTAGTTGGCGAACTAGGAATTGATTTCTAGTTTATTTCACTGAATAGAATAAAATTACTACTTTTAGTAAAAAAATGTTTTCTCAAGGGTAAAATTGGATACAGTCTGTTATGTAATGGATAATTAAGCAAAACTAGGAAAGAAAATTATCCGTCAATCAAACAATTCACATTCACTGATGGATGACCTTAATTTCCGACGATCGTAAAATCTCTATAACCATCTAAAGGTTAGTTTTATTGAATATGAGACAAATCATTTCTCGATTGACATGTATATTATTAACTGTCCACACAACGCTCAATTTATTTGAAACTATCAAGTACAGCCTTAGCATTAATACCAACAAACTCATTTTTGATGTATTATTCCATTTTTACCAGGTCTGTGTTGATATGGTTTTGGAACAGTTTCGTAAAAGTGTTGGTCAAGTTAGGGAAATCTTATTAGAAGCTGTGAGATTGATTGGTGCTTGTGACTGGACAAAAACTATTGAAGCAAATAAGGTAATTTGATTTTTTTCTCACAGACTTATCTTTTTTGTGTCACTTGACTAGATATTAGTGACGCTTCATTTTATACCAGTGTTAAACAATTTGTCTAATTTTGTTTGTCTAAAAAAATTTGAACAGTATGTTTTGAACTATTCAATATTGCCATATAAGACTACAGTCAGCATCATCCGCCAGACACGAACTCAATACACACTGACAGACTTTGAACACTGAGTCCGTACTAAATTTAGCTGTCTACACAAAGGTTATGAATAACCGTAAAATGTATTTGCATCAATAAAAACTATGTCATGGAATCGATATGCCTTGAGTGTGAAGATACTACTAATGAAAACCATTATTAATGTTTGATATTCAACCATTGTCAACACACTGTTATATAAATTCGAAAGTGTAAGATACAGTTTGAGCACAGGTCGGATAAGGTGTTATCTATTTTAATTGTTGTTATTTTCTCATTTAAACTTGTATTAGTTATCTGTTATCGGTGGCCGATAAACAGATGTTATGTTTTACGTATGTGATGCTGTCATGAAAGCACACTTATTTGAAGTAGAAGTTATCTGTAGTCATTCCACCATGAAATCGTTCGGGAACTAATAATTTTTTGCAGCAGTTTTGTCATCAAGGTTTAAAGAGTAATCTTCTTAGAACAATCTCTACCAATTCTACAAACAAAACATTCCGTCATTATCTCAAGATTGGCTTATCTAATTCATTGACCAAGTACATGTTCATGTACCTGGTTTTGAACCACACTGTTTATGAAGTCTAGTAATACCAATTATTTTAAAGTTTGAGTGTGATTCATTGGCTTATTAATTAAGGTGATCATCTTTCAACCATTGGATCTCAAATCTTGACGTTATTGCATCTAGTTTAGTTTGACCAACTGGATTGTATCGCTAGGCCTGATGTAAATGGTGTGGCTTATAGTAGTGATATTACTAAATGCATCAATAAATTTCTAAAACAGAATTGAAAATTGAATTGACTTAGTATGATTTAAAGAATGAGTTTCAACTTACTAAGTTGAATTTAATGCACTGATTCTAGTCATTGCTTGATAAATCGGAGAGGGGTTCAATCAATAATGAGTCAGTATTGTTGGTTCAATGAAGTGTGTTATTCTCACTTAACACAAAAATAGGTATATGTTGCATTCATTTAAGTTATAAAGAATTTGAAAGAGAATTTTCTTCTATATCAATAAGCAATAGCACCAACTGGTACCTGATAAATAAAAAAGTATCTGTAGTATTTCAATAACTTCTAAAGATTATTATACAGTCCGATTTTCAGTTAAAATATGTTACGTTCCATGCTCCATTATTTTAAGCAGCTTAACACACTTAAAATGGAATAATCGAAAAGATCACATGTATGTATTATGTGCTCTAAGGAACTCTACGACACTGAAATAATTTCCAGCATTCATAAGCACTTTTCACTTCATGAATCGTATAATTTGTTTTCTAACTGAATCTTTTTTATTGTGAAGCTTTACATTTTAATTTTTCTCGTTTTGCAGGCGCTAGTGTTAAGCTCACGTCAAGACTTACTTCATCAAGGAAGTAATGACAAATAAATATGAGGTTAATTGGAATTTATTATCTGTGTATTTAGTTACATGAATAAACAGAATTCAGTCAAATGAAAAATTCAAAGGACTTTTTTATGCTTATCTCCCTTTTGTTTCGACTTTGTTTAGTCAATAACAATCCTACATTTTTTCATGACAAGTACTTGCGATTTTTAGTCATTTGTTCTATGACCTAATAATAATATTTGATTAGAAAATAAGTGCACATTTTTATTCCCTTAAATTCTCGGATAGTGCGAATATTTATAATTGAACTCAGTCAATTATTTCGCCAGTCAGTCATTCGTAAACAACGTAGAGTCAGGAATATTTGTTCATCTATCCTAGATGTCCCATAATTTAGGTTTACGGTTTAGAGATAAATACATAATTCAATACCTGAAAGAAATCTGTAACACAATAAAATTTCAGACGATTGGAAATCATAGTGCCAGAATTAGTGATAAAACAAAAATTCACTGTATAAAAATTAATAAAAGATCATGACAAATGAAGGTATCCGTTACATTAAAATCGATTTTGAACCCTATCACAAAAAGTTCCCAGGCTTTCGTAATGATTGTTTTTTTTGCAGTTTTCAAGTAAAAGGTACGCATTTGCCTACCTAGCTCGGACATTAATTGTTAACTTTTAGCGTATTTTGACCTAATCACATGTTTCTAGTATGTCCGTATGTTAACCAGCGTTATGCTTCGAAATAGGTTGGGGCTGAAAATTCGTTGCAGGTCGTATAACTGTCCTATATGAATAAAGTTTAGGATTTCACTGACAGATATGTTACTTTTATCCAGCATTCCACACATAGAATAATTGTTTTCCGGTTTTTCGTCCAACAGTACTTGAAGGATGCTTCGGAAAACATTCCCGCGTTATGTAAATACTACCCTATTATCTGTCGTCTGATAGTGTTAGTCGCCCGGTAAGTGATATATTTGGTTATCATCGTTTTAATACGGATACAAAGTACTGGTGATGTGTGGACTAGTCGTCTTTTTCATAATGAAGAGCATGCGCGGATTTATATCCAAGTTTGCCGTGGTCAATATGACTGGAAACTTTCTCCTGTGTATGCTATTTCTGGTGACATTATTTATTTATTTAAACATATAAATATTGGTACAAAAAAACACCAGATAAATATGCGCCACACAGATCAAATGAGATTTGTATTAGGGCTATGATACTGCTCAGGTGCCCAAACTGAAACAGGTGGTTTTCTTAGGGAGCCAACACCCGGAGCCTTTGACCTAAAGGTCTGATTCACAAGGCAGTGGAGCATCGTGAGGAGATGCAGTCCCATGGTAGTGGGTGATCAACGGTTGATTCGTACGCCATTTGTTCCCTCACGATACTGGAGCCCATGTGCACCATTGGTTTGGAATCAGGGTTTTCCAACTCCCCTAGGTGGACTTTCCGTGTCCACCAAACCGATTAAAGCGCCAGACATTCGCTTTCCGTCTTCTCAGTTTCGTAAACAACACTCCCGCCACGAGAAGGCAATGAATAGGACTTCCCTGGCAGATGCTATACACGCGTAGCTGTGTGGAAGCGTGTGTCTTAACCTTTATCCAGATCTCTTCTAACCGCACTTCAGTCTTCCTCGTTCAAGCTTTCATTATGTGACTTCGGTTAGAGACTTACCTTTCGTTACTCAATTTTTTTGTTGCATGTTTCTGGACTATCGACAATAAGGTTGTGTTCGACTAAACCAAAACTTATGGTGTTGTTCGGCGTATGACTGGTAACCCTTGATTATCTGCTCGGAGACTTTGCTGGGATCTCTGCAAATAGATACTTGAACCAATCATGTTGGGAATACTCATGCTGCAAGAAAATTATCGGGGAGTACTGAAAAATGAACCAGGATGACTGTCATATGATGCTTGAAACGATGTCTTGTTGTTCGGATCAATTCACAATTTTTAGTAGCATTCATAACCAAACGGAAATCTATAAATTGGTGACCAGGTAGAAAATAAAAACCTAATAATCATCGAAAGTGATGGATAAAATGCATAAGGTTTTATGAACAACGTCCACAGCAACATAGGGTTCACTGAAACAGATAAGCCCGGACAAGCCATCATAGTTGTGTGTCGATAACCAGAACTAACACAAAACTTGAAGACTAGAGAGTATCGGGAGCGAACTCCTAATTACTCACCTACTTGAAAATTTACCTATCGTGAAGGAGCTTAGGCCACCCGTCAGGATTCTAAAATCGACTCCGTCCTGGGCAATTCTTTCCGAATTTTTGAAACTGCTATTCATTCTTCAGAAGTTCGCCTCCGATTCCCGACACAAAGTGTCTTTTCTTCTTTCGGACTCCACTTCAGGGTTTGCCTCTTAATGAAGCTGGATAACTCTCGCAATAAGCCATTTACATCTCCGAAACTTTTTCCTAATTTCCTCCTCCCACAGTAGGCTGTTACTGATGATGTCCAGCCAACGAACATTGTGTACCCTGCGTAAACAATTGTACCTTTTTGATAATGGTTGTAGTAAACATCATAGTGGTAATGCGGTCGTTCGGGGACAGTGTTGATAATTAAACAGGAGTCATAATCTTGAAACACCAATTTCTATGGCTTGAACATGAACTACAAATGTCCCAGGTGATGGTATCCGGCCAACGAAAATTGAGTCTCCTGCATAGACAATTGTTTACGAATACTTGTACCATTTTGATGATGGTTGTAGTATTTTTTCCAAGTTTCATTTCCATACAGTAGAACCATCCTGACGTTCATATTGAAGGTTCTGACAACCATGGCGTTTATGTATCCCATTTACATGGTTGAATCCTTTCCTGAGCACGTCTCACCGCCGACTGCATCCTATCATATTACCGGTCTTCATCGTGTTTATTGCTATCGTTAGTCGGTGCATAATATCGGATAATACTCATTTTGATCCCCTACTTCTTTAGTTTGCGAGATGCCCCGATGATTCTAGTTCCATGAGATTCCCATCTTTTAAGTGTTCTTCGTGCTATCTGAGACAGAATCAGTACAACTTTTTTATGTAAAGTATTTTCTTTTTTATGACCAAAGTGCGGCAGCATCTCCCCCGAATCTTGTCTTTTCTGTCCAGTTTGAGTCTAAATGGTTTCACTGATTCTTAGAACCGCAGCTATTTAACTTGTCTTTCTAGTCTCTCACATTACTCGTACATTTCAGGTACCCACCTAATTGTTGCTCTGTCTGTTACGAGGGCATCGGCCTCGTGACATCCGAAAAATCTCGGCATTTACCATGGGGCATCAAATGTTTTCTAAATGAATATCCATCTACCTAAATGTCAGAGTTTGAATGGCTTAAAATTTTCTTCTGGTTAGTTATTTTTAGAGAGAATGCTTTTACGACATGATGAGGCTGTTTACCACTTACCCAACCCTCCCTCTTTATCTGTTCATTGGACCGTTAGTAACTGTAGTTAGTCTATGAGTGGGACCATCTCACTCTTATCAAATTCTGAACTACTACATCAATTGCATTGGGAATCACCAACTCTGCTGCTTAATTACTTTTCCCGAATGGGCAATGAAATGCTTCAGCACGCCTATGGCATTGAAATCCGAAATGGTATGATTGAGATTTTATAAAGCACGGCTATTATTGAAAGCTCATTAATGAACATCGGTCAAACTCAACAGCAATCAAGAAATTAGTGGTGGGAATCAACAAGCAGGGCACCCTGTATATATAAGTTGCATATTAGTAATTATAATAATACTAATATGACTACAGCACATATGCCAGCCAAATCACTACAGTCAGTATTAGACATACACAAGAATAAAATAACAGAAAAAATTCGAACACCATTTGCAGAACAAATAGTTGTAACTACGGGAAACACTTCACTAGGCAAAGCGGTGACCGTGTTCATTTTACTCTGCATGAACACTGACTAGTTGTCATACGATAGGATGTATTTTTGATTACATCAGTGTCATGGACAACAATGTACTCGTGCAATCAATAGGAAAAACATTGCAATTCTGAATGACGGGAAACTACAGGGGATTATAGAATCATTTTGCAGGTTAGGCACTCGGTTCACTTATAATCAACAAAACATGGAAATCAACTTAATTCATTCAACAACCAGAAAAATCACTGACAAATAGAGGATCAAGAATCACTTCGAAAGTAAAGACAATCAAAGTAAATATGCAGAGTTCAACAAGTTAAAGATCAGCCGTAACTAGTTAAGACCAAGATTGAAGGCACAATCTGTTCATCGTTTGTAGATAAGGCTGGATACCAAACTTCCACCTGAAGTTTATGTGAATTATATTGTTCAGAAGAATAATGAAGTCTTCACGTTAACAGAGTCTAACTAACAGGACGAAACCCCATTGAAAGTGAAAAGGATGAAAATGGGTCTTACTGTTCTAAATCATGGATGCCTGTTCCTTAGTTAGTCTGGAAAATCAGATAATCTTTATAATGAGAGAAAAATGGCAGTTGCGAACGGCTTCTTACATAATCAGTAAAAATGTCACATGAAGATTAAGCCCAAAAAGACTTACCTCATTAAAATCGTTTCTCATTACTCTGCACTTCATATGAAGGCAGTTTGGTTTCATCACAGAGAACTGTTTTGAACACTGTTGGACGTAATCACAGTCTCACCCCAAAGTTAGAACGTTGTTGTGCACTCATTCTGAGGAGAGAGATCGATATCATAGACCACGTCAATAGACAAGCAACAAAAGCAGACAAAAGCAACAAAATGATAAGGATGACGAACAAATTGTATGGAGACAAACTCTGAATCGCAACTGTCCTCAATAAGCTATGGAAGAATAAGAGTTTATCTGATAGTGTCACACAATACACAAAGTACCCGAAGTGTCACAAGTCCTGGACATGAATGAAAAAACAGCATGATCGCAATTTTTTTAACAGTGGATGAAGATTTAGGTGGGCAGTATTCTCCCTCTCATTGGGAGCGCGTAATTATACACGCTCTATGAA